TGCTGATCAGGCCACAGCGTGACAACTCCTATAAAATGCACTATAAAACCGCATTATTTAATAGGTCTGAGTATTGTACCTGCTTCCTTATCTCCTCTTGGGTGATTAAGTTTTCCACAAATGCAATTTGTTAATACAGAGCCACATCTTCTCACAAGGTAAATCTGTGAAATTTGGCAGGCAGTAGCTTTGCTGCAGGTGCAAGATGAAAGACCTTTCCCTGGCTTTGCCAAGAAGAAAAATGATGCTGCACTCAATCCTGGGAAAAATATTCTGACACAGAGGATAAAACTGATTCCAAGAAAGGGGAATAGAATTCTAGGGCCCAAATCATGTGCTGGCCTCCTGTTTTGGGGGTACATTACCCTGAAAGGGCTGAGCGGCGGATGAGCAGCCCTGTTTTACATGAGGCCAGGTGTTGAGCAAATCCCCTTTCTAAGGGAAGTCCTCCAATACTTGGAGCTGCAGCCATCTGAGATGAGAAATGATCACTTTTACTCTTATGACCTATGAGAGCTTAATTAGGGCTTAATTAAAGCTAATGCTCAGAATCCTTTGGAAGATGGAGCAGTTAAAAACTAACTTCCACATTGAATAGCCACACTGAAAAGTGTGTCTTCAAAATATGTGGCATCGCCACTCTGGGGCTCTACCAATCCTGTCCGGGTCTTCACAGCTAAGTTAAAGCAAGAGCTGACTATTTTTGCATTAGAATTTCCTTAGCCAAGACTACAAGAGGCCAAGTGCTTGGGCCCATCTCAGGCCCCTGTGCATCTACATAGGCGGTTGTCTCTGAATCTGCAAGTCCAGCTCGCCGTACACGTGTCTCAAGGGGTCACTGGTCATGCTGGCCATCAGCTTCCGAGGGCCAGAAACCCAAGGCCGACACACCTCCTCCCATTTCACAGTGGAGTTGGGCCGGATTTCCCTGAAAGGATGGAAGAGACAGGAAAGGTTTTATGCTCCAGAGAGGCAGATCCAGTTTCCCACCTTGACCAGGAAGCAACGAGGCCCCTGCCTGAGTCACAGTCTCTCTTTCTTTTGGTTGATGGTGGTTGGAAGACAGAAGGGCCGGGGTGGCTGATTTCCAGTGACCACCCGAATGAGGCCCCTAGATGAGGCTCAAGCAGAGACAGCCCCATGGGTCCTGGTTCCTTCCACACGGATGCATCAGCTGGCCTTCTGGTGGATGTGGTCCATGCAGTGTGTGGCAGAGCTGAGCTGAGCACCCGAACAGCCATGAGTCAGCTGAACTTCAGCTTATCCCCAGGCTTCCACAGTAACCTTGAGGACATGACTGATCTCCCTCGGTTCATTTGCGGGCTAAAGTACCCTCCTGGCATCAGACTTCTCCCTGAACCCCCAGCTGCCTTTACTGAGGTCCTGACGCTCTAACTGGTTCTGGTCAACGCCCTTGGGATAGACCTGTTCCCAGGCCCAGGATCTGGAACATCACCCAGCATGCTCTGTAATTCAAAATCCTGTTTCAACCAATTGATTTTGGTCCCTTGCCCACATACCTTGCTGCTACACATTTGTTGCTGATGCCCTAATCCATCCTGATGGTGGGGCCTTCAATGGTCCTGCTTTTCCTCGTCCCCTGTGGCCATGCTCTGAGGTCTTCCTAAGCGTCATGGCCGAGCCCAGCCCAATGGATGACGAAGTCAATCAGGGTGGGGAATTTAGGCTTCTCTGGAGTATTTCACATATCCCCCCCGCCCCTCGCCAACCCCGCCACTCCCGATGTGATGTAAGAGCAGGAGGAAATTACATGCAGGTTTTATATGTATGATAGTCCCCTGAGGTGGACACTATACGACAAATTTTCTAGTTAAGAAAAATGAAGGGATTAAACACAGGAGGTAACGTTTCCATGGTCACACAGGTGTTAAAGGGCAAAGGTAAGATTTGGACCCAAGTTTATCTGTTTCTACAGCACATGCTCTTTCTACCTCTCTATACTACATTTCATCCTCTATCCTCCAATGAAATGCCTTTTCTGAGCACTGTGCTTGCTTTTTCATATGTCTGATTTCTCAAACAAGACAGATGCCCTTTTGCCTTTTGTTCAGTATTGAGAGCTTCCTGCAGGTCTTGTTATTGGAGGATTCCTGGTCTCCGCTCTCTGACTCAGGCCAGGCATGTGCTGGGCAGCTTTGCGTATAACCCTTGGCCTGCACTTTTCTGGGAAAGCATCAGGGATTTGAATGGAGACCGCCATGCATGGCTTAAAAAGAGAGAAAAGGGACCAGACTCTTTTTATGGGGTTATTGGGGCACAGCGTGTCAGAATTGGAAAGGACTTAGAAATCACTTCACCCGACTGTCCCATTTTACAGACGAGGACTCTGAGGTCCTAAGGAGCCTGTGGAATCTTCCACAGTGACAGATCCTGATGGCCCAGACCCTGGAAGAACAGAGACACACACTGGGGACACAAAGTGGGTGCTCAGAAATGAATAACGTGTTGTGCAGGGGAATTTGGTGGGTAGATCCTTAGACCCCTGAGCGAGGACCCAGGGGATGGGAGGGCACTTCCTACGAGCTCCACAGGGTGGCCTGGGAACCAAAGGAGCTGACGGCAACACTGTGGCTTTGAACTGGAGTGGTGGTGGGAGGGTGGCACAGAAGGGGACTGTCGGTGAGTCTAGAGTGGTTCAAAGGCCTCAGCTACAAGAGCCCCCATTTGCCCTTGGAGGTCAGCGCCATACAGTATCACTTTAGACAGAGCCAAAGCGAAGGAGAAATATGGGGCCATCCACCTGTGCTTGACCTACTGTACATAAAGTTAGAGTCCCATGATATCCTCAAAGATCACTAAAACAACATGTATTTTACCTGGCTGCAGGTGTACATCCTCTGGGATGAAAAGGGGAACGGCTCCAAATCTTAGAAATCTAGCCGCTAAATAAGAAATCCCTTTACTCTTGTATCTGTGGCCAGTGAATTGGGAAATGCTTCTAAGGCTAGGGGACCCCTCTCTCTAGGGCTGCTCCAGGCACTGGTTCTGAGAGTCTCAACGTCTCAATTAATTTGTCATTAGTTCTTAATTTTTGTTCTTTAGAAATGAGGCTATATAACTTATCTTATTGAGCTATAGAAAAGCCAAATTATGTGACAAGCGCACACCCAGAGCCTACACATGGGAGTATTTTTCCAACTCGGTAAATTACTTTTATGATTCAAGGTTTGGAAAACGCTGAGCTCACTGTGGGTTTCCTCACCTGTAAAAGGACACTATGAAATATTGAAAAGGGTGTGGAGAGGGTGGGTGAGCTAGTATTTGTGCTGCGCTTAGAACCGTGGCAAGATGTGGTTAAATACCACGTATTAGACATATGTTGCTGCTGCTGCTTTGCTATTATTATTATTATTATCACCATCACCTTTGTGGTCATCATTTTCTGCCTGAACTCCCTGCAACATAATTTAGGAAAGTTCTTCTGGCTTGTACGCAGAGAAACATTTCTCTACCCTTAATTTAAATAATCTTTTCCGTATGAATATAGGTTTTTAGATGTTTCTTTCTCAGTAGCTGTGCTGTTTTTACCCTGATCCATTCATTCTTTCTTCCCTGGTTTCCCCAAGTGATCCATCCAGAACATTTTGCAAAAGAGTTGTCCCGCTTAAGGATATGGCCTGCGGCCTAGAGTGCAGGCAACTCCCTCAAACAGAAACTGTAAACCCTGAGCTTTACTTCATTATTTGGTCTAACTCATAAACGCGTCCCCGTAATGATATCCATCCATGTATCTATGCCCACTCATGAGCATCACTGAAGATACTCATATATGACGAGACACGTGCATGCCTAAGTATGCATTTACCTACAGAAAAATGCATGCACAAAGAAAGAAAAAAATCATTTCCCCATCTTGCTAAGGGAAGTATAAAAAATAAATAAATAAAATTCAAAAAAAAAAGTGGAGTAATACTGGAATAATCCTATATTCCCAGGGGTAGACGTTGTGATAAATGTTTCTCAGTAATGCGCTGAGCAATCAAGATACGCCGGCCATTTATCCTCTTGAGGACAAGCAGGCGTAGGGGATTATTACCACAATAAACTGCAACTATCTATGGTTTGTCCTCCACGTGTCTAGCCCTCTGTCCTACTTGAGAGACTCAAAATTTAAAACAAAATCACACAGTCGTAGACATTTTCTCTTAAAATAACTTACGGAACCTCATCATTTTTTAAAGAGAAAAATCAATCTGGAAGATGAATTATTTGATGTTGCAGAAGAATCAAGTGCAGAAGCTGGACAGCTGCTGGTCTGTGGGAGTAGCACCTCCGAGCACCTGAGGAAGGTGTGGGGAGGTCAGCGGGAGAGCAGGAAGGTAAATCGTTTTGGAGTGGAGTTGACTGTGTCCTGACTGAGGAATGGACATGGCACCACCTGGTCCTCATTCAATTCCCTGCTCCCTAGCTCCCGCCTTCCAGACCCTCTGCTTGGAGCTCCAGACCCCCTAACGCCTAGGGCCCTTGGGTGGGCAGGTGGGGTGGAGACTCCCTTGACTATTCAAGGCGTGGATCTGAGAAAGGAATACAGTCTTGTGAAGGGTTCTGGTTCTACAGAATTGCACTTCTTAAGGGTCCAAGTTGTTACATTGATCTGCCGCTCTTTGATCAGGTCTTGGCGGTACAGGGTACAATGCAGTGTTTCAACCACCCGAAAAGATGGTTGTGGGTGCTGGCTGGCTCAGATCTGGGCTGTGAAGGTGTGAGGAGGAATCAGGAGGAAACAGAGAAACCAGTGGTCTCTCCGAAGTCCCAAGCCCACCCTAGGTCATAAGTATTTTCTATGTCAAGTTATTTCCAATTCTGACAGTCTCTGAGAAATAAAGCTTCCCTTGCTTTGGAGAGATCCACCCTCTGGATCTGGATCCCCATAAGAGACTGAGGACCTGTATCTCCGTCTGTTAGTGATCTGCCATAGACCTATGCGTTGAAGGTGATTACTGATAGAGCTAACGGCAGAGTGCGGGCGGGACATTTGCTTTGTGTCCACCGTGTAGG